GCGGTTAAGTGAGTCACTACATTGTGAAGGAGGGATATTGATGACAACCAAGTGTCAACACCTTCAAGAGTAGTGCCCATATACCTAGTTACATAGTATTTGGGGTTGAATAAAGACATAGGTCCATCAAGTCCAACCCATGTAGGTCCACGCATCATCCCGTTCTTAGGGATACTGGTATCCCTGGATATTACAGTCCCTCAAGAAATTGTCCAAACGTTTCTTGAACAAATCTACATTCTTGGCTGAAATCACTGCCGATGGCAGTGAGTTCCAGACCTTAACCGCTCTTACTGTAAAGAACCCTCTTCTTTATTAAAATACTGTGAACTAAATCTGTGATCACATGATGTGCCAAGTCCTTAGTCTTCTATCTTCTTTCCTGCAGAGGAGAAGGGTGGCATGGGCACAGGCTTCACCACTAGATCCACCACAGAAAGCGCCACGTAGGCAAGTATAATAGAAATACAAAAAACAGAGAGCGCCTCCATCGCGTAAAAACTTTTTAATAAAACAGGATAAAAACAGATGAAATGGTACTCGCAAAGGTAGAGTTTTACCATACATGGAAAATCATATGTGATAGGCTTAGCCAGCCGACTATCAGTCCTTCCTGGTTGACGCGTTTCTGAGGTCACACCTCCTTCATCAGAACCACTAGAGGGTGTCTTAATGTCTCCCTTTATATGTCAGTACATCGGCCCAACACAGGCTCGTAATCAAAAACGGACCACCTGGGTCGCAAGGGTAATTTGGATTATTAGGGCTCACTCTTCAGCGCAGCTTGGTTGGAGAATTTTTAAAGGAGTTTTAACTCCAGTAAACCGATATTCAGACCACTAATTTTAATAAAGGAAATACTCTAAATGTCCAGATATCTGTGTCAGATGGCACAGGTCTAAAGATTACATATACTATCGTTGAAACAGATACATTCTGTGTCATTTTGCAGGAATACATGTTCGATTCGTTCAGACAGATCTCTAGTGGACCCTCTATAGTCATGGACCCAGTTGCTGGAGTACAGACACCATTCACATAATTGTAATTAACCAAAGCTAGCGCTGGAGAGAGCAGACCACATATATAAAAAGCGCAAGTTGAAACAAAAGATGCAAAAAAAGATACCAAACATAGTATACAGATGAACTTTTCGTGAACAAATTAAAATGTAGCTAATAGACATCTTGTTTTTACAAAAAGCCGTGTGTGGCAGAAATCTTCAATATTCATAGTACATGATCCGTACAGCTACAACAATCTGAGCAGATCTGGACCACAAATAGAGATAGCACGCTTGAATCTTAGATGGAAACCACATACATATCTATAGAAAGTATAATAGAAGCTTCAGAAGATAGGAATTTTTTAACAAGTGCTGAATGCATAAAAGGAGAGAGATCTTTAAAGAAAAACCAGCAAGTGGCACCCAAAAGAATCCCAACCTGGCACACCAGCTGATATACTTTAGGGCTAGGGCTGTATCCAGATGCATGAAATGGGTGTGGTTACGGGGGTGTGGCCACTACAGGGTGTGGCCACTGAGGAGCGCTGTATAGCTTTCTCGCACAGGGCGCCTAAAGGCCTGAGGCCGGCCCTGTATGCAATGGCATCAATAAAATAGCCCCCTTCCACCAAAGCGCCAGCTCCAATGGACATAAAGTTCTTCTGTTGTACAGGTGGGTAATATGGGGGATTTATGTGTAATTTACCTGCCCCCATTGAAGGATACGTATGTTTTTACCCCTCTACTGGTGCAAGTAAAAATGAAATGCTCCATCTTATCTACAGTGTGACGTTACTAAAAGTGAATTTAAAAAACCTGGGGGAAATGTATAAAAACTGGAGCAGTTGCTCATAGTAACCAATCCTTTTTTCATTACTTATAGTGTTATTAGAGATATTGTGTAACGGTATTTGTAAACGATAAGATATTCTGCCATTGCTGACCTCCTCCTTAAGGCTGGGTTCACACCTAGGCGTATTGAATATGCCCGTCTGTCGCGCGTTTTTTTTACCGCGATTCGCAGTAAAAAAAACCGCGAGACAAACACGGGGTTTCCGAGGGCTAACTTGGCTGTATCCCAATGGAAACGCCCAACAAAAACGGCCCAAAGAAGTACATGTACTTGTTTGGGCGTAGGTCGTTTTGTAGGGCGTTCAGACAGGCGGAAATACGGAAAGGTGTGAACCATACCCATAGAAAACAATGGGATTTTCATGTTTGTACGTTTTGTAGAGCGTTCATAGAGCGTTGAACGCGCGACAAAACGTAAAGGTGTGAACAGGCCCTAGGTCTAGTTTAATCCGGGTGATCTAGCATTGCTGCAGCAAGAACCTATGGATTCCTGCGTCAGGAATGCCAGGTGTCTCCGTTCAGATACGGCCGCTGTACCCATTGAAGTTAATAACCAGGTGACAGCGGCCACATCTGTAAGCAACAGTCCACATATCATTGTATATCTCGCATCAGCTGAAAGTCTGATCTCAGCTACTGGTCCAAGATTGTTATGAGGATATGGGGAGAGCAGAGTCCAGTGCTGGATCTGATCTAGTGGCTGAGCACTGCTGTGGCTGGTTCACCTCAAGGCGGGGTCACAGCTGCTGAGTACTTCCAGGTCGTCAGGTGTTGCTAGGCAACGTGTTTCAGAGGTTCACTTCCTTTGTCAGCCACTGGATCAGATCTGTGTCTTCCAGCACAGGTGTTCTGGAATCTTTCTGGACTAGACTCTGCTCTCTCCATATTCTGATAACAATTTTGGACCAGCAGCTGAGATCGGACTTTCATCTGATGTGTGACAGGCGAGATGTTTTTTATTATCCTGTAAGTGCATTACTTTCAATCTTTATTAAACAGTCACTTTTATACTGCACTCAGATCTGGGTGCCGGTTTTTGTGTTTCCCTCCCAGTGCTGTTCCATGGATGTTTCCCTCACAGTGCTATTCCCCTATCCAACTAACCAGGCTGCAGGATCAGTGCATACATCTTCTCTGGATTAATCACCAGTATAACTGGAGCTCCTTTTATACTATTAATATACAGCCCATACGCAATCCATCTAGCTGCGCAACTTGATGACTTCTGCTTTCTGTTGAACTTTGCAATGTCTCATGGGATTTGAAGTTCCACAACAGGTGGAGTGCCATGGTTGTCTGCCCCTGCAATAATGTTTGGCTAGCTTCAAGTCAGATCTGATCTGTCTAATTCTTCTGTGCCTCGGAGCATTTAAAATAGGGGTCTCAAAGTGCCGGAACCGGTACCATGTAGCCCACAGCCGGCTGACAAGTTAGGCATGCGGTCACGTACCGAGTATCTGACTTGTGAGAACAGCTACACAGTCTGCATCTCTATCAGATGCAGACCACATATGTGCTCCTGGCGGTGCCAGCACTCACTAGTTCCTTCAGCTGGTGTTCTGACAGCTCTGAGTGCTGGCCGAAAGGAAGGAGTAGTGAGGTCTGCACCTGGTTCAGACCTTACTAATCAACCACCGAGCCACCAGGGAATGTTCCTCCTCCATGCAAGAAATGTCAGCAGGTGAGGGAGCTCTTTCTTTTATGTGTGTGGAGGGAGGGGTGTGTATAAACAGGTGAAACTCGAATAATTAGAATATCGTGCAAAAGTAATTGCAGTAAGTGCTGCAAAAGGGGCCCAAACCAAGTACTGAGTACACATGCATGCTTGTACTTATCAGAGGTCCGATATTGTTCTATGTACAATCCTTGTTTTATTGATTGCATGTAATAATCTACTTTTTTGAGGTTGTGGATTTGGGGTTCTTGGGGTTTTCATGATCATATTTCTGTGTGTATGGGTATATTTATCTCTGTGTGTGTGTTAGTGTCTGTATTTTTCTGTGGGTGTGTGTATATTTCTGTGTGTGTGTATTATTGTGTGTGTGCTTATGTGTATTACTGTGTGTGTGTGTGTGTGTATTACTGTGTGTGTGTGTATTACTGTGTGTGTGTGTGCTTATGTATATTTCTGTGTGTGTGTATTACTGTGTGCATATATTTGTGTGTGTGTGCTTATGTATATTTCTCTGTGTGGGGGGGGTATTTCTGTGTTTGTGCTTATGTATATTTATCTGTGTGTGTGTGCATATATTTGTGTGTGTGTATTACTGTGTGCATATATTTGTGTGTGTGTGTGTGTGTGTATTTCTGTGTGGGTATTACTGTGTGTGTGCTTATGTTATTTCTCTGTGTGTGTATATATTTGTGTGTGTGTGTATTACTGTGTGCATATATATTTGTGTGTGGTGGGCATTACTGTGTGTGTATTTCTGTGTGGGTATTACTGTGTGTGTGCTTATGTATATTTCTCTGTGTCTATATATTTGTGTGTGTATTACTGTGTGCATATATTTGTGTGTGTATATATTTCTGTGTGTAAATCTGTTGCTCCTCTCTGATTAAAATTTAAACCTGTGGGGGGGAAGAACACAGACATATACTGACACTGCACACATATACACATACTGATGTGACACACAGAAACATTTACACACATACTGACATCACTCACAGAATTCCTGACAGCTCACAAACACACATACTGACATTATGAACACACAGACATGAACACTGGTACCGTATATAGTTACATTTTGTTTGGAAGTATGACATTTTATTTTTGCAAGTGGCCCCCATGAGAGAAGAATATGTTGTCCAGTGGCCCCCGAGTGAATTGAGTTCTGAGACCCCTGGTTTAAAACATAATGACGGCCAGGCATCTGGGCTATTCAGGAGACAATATTGGCCGTGACGATCTCTCTTGCCTCGTGATCGGTTTACTTGACCTCGCTGAAAGAAAATAAACCATGAAACGCATACCGGTTTTATCCCGGATCTCTGAGCTCTCTCTGATTCCTGTAACAGATTTGTGTGAAATTGTCACCAATGACTAACGAGAGGGAGTGAGGATACTTTAACACTTCATTTTCCGGACACAAAGCCTCCATTGATCAGTGTAACCTTAGCTGCTTAGTGGTGTGGCAGTGCAGGAGTTAATGCTGTCCTGATCCTGCTGCATCACAGCATCCGATGTGTTTCAGGGACAGAAAGAGCTCCGTCCAATCAGCAGCCAGCCTGAGCTGCAAATCAGGAGGCGTCTTGCATCTCGTATTTGGGAATGTGTGCGTGGGTACCAGACATCCACAGCTGTCCTCACATCCTGAACTCTGGACCACGTGTGTGTGATGCAGGCTTGTATTAGCTGATGATGACCCTTGTCAATGACACTATCAGAGGGCCACAGTTAAGTGTCTCCCCCTTCTGGGGGGAAGGTAAGTCTTTGTATTCATAGCTCAGCGTGCAAAGGGGGGTAAGATAATCCTCCTCTTTGTGAATGTTGCCTGTGGTTCAATACTGTACTGAGTGTAACTGGATCACTGGTGCTGTCCATGTTCAGATCACTTGTGTTGTTATATAGTTGCTGAGTTTATTCAAATGAATCTTTCACAAAGGATAATACCTGTGTGCGAGTCCTTAGATGGAAGCTGCCGTACTCCTAGGCTATCTGCGAGTAAAGTAGTAGGCATCACATGACGGCAACTACCATGTGGCGTTTTTTCACACGCTTATTTCAATCAAGTAAGCGCAGGTAGAGTGTAGCACAATGTGTGGCATTGACGCAGCGCTAGCTGTATTTTTACATTGCATATACACAATAGAAAAATAAATAAATATTATGATTCTTTTTGCATGTTCACATCATAACTTTATCTCCTACCTGAATCTCAAACATTATTAATGTTGTTCTTATAAATGGCTGTGACCTGTACAGATGAATCTGTGACCGCTGTATGAATAGCTCTTTTACACAAAGTGTCTTGTGATCCACTAATCCCGGTCACACCGATTGTGATGGTTTTCTTTATTTTCTGTTATTATTATGCTGGCTACGTTTTCATACATGTTCCAGCCCCAGACTGTTATATAACTGACATTTGGTTTAATACTTCTTTTATTTCCTTCCCATACACAGCGATAAAATCTGCTATTATGTGGACCTTGGCTTCTTCTGATGAGTGACCCCGGCAGCCTTTCCTATGGAGTCCATCCAGGAGGTGAGAGCTGAATGACTGGATCTGGATATTTGTATATTATGATGTTTTATTATTGGTTTATTATGTTTTACTATATGTGCATTGTTGTATTGGAGCTTTGTTTATATTGACCTTTGTTTCGATTTCTCTGTTACATATACAACAAAGGTTGTGGTGGGGGTTTTTTGAAAAGAGGACTCGGATAATTAGAAAATGTTATACATTTATTAAATTCATTAAAAAGTTTTTTTCATAATGAAAATTAAAATCAATGCTCCTGCACAAACATGATTAATGAATCCCTAAATGTCTTGCATATAGATCATACAAAATTCATAATCCATTTCATAATGTCAATCATTTATCCATCATTATATTACATATACATTGTTGTACCGCTCCATTGATCACCAAATTTCTCTGTGTTTCCCAAAAGACAATTGTGGGTCAAAGCATTGACAGCTCTGATCATTTTCTGCTTAAATTAAGCAGCAAGCAAGAGGTGATACAACTGCTGCTAAGAGGAGTCACATGATTCTGAAGCACTGTGCCGCCAAGTCAAAGAAATACCTAGGCTTTTGATTGGTTGACTGTATAATTTAAAGCGGACCTTTACCCATATCTTTAAAATAACAACAAACACACCTTTAGAACTGTTTAGAACTGTTTAGTATTGACAATCTACAAACACCTACTTCTAGATAATTGCCGGCTTTGTATTCTTTGCATTCCTTATTTCCCTTTTCTTGTCGTCTTGTGACGGTGGCCATGTTTACTAAGAGTAGATTACTAGCTCTCCCTTTACTTCCTGGATTTCCGGCACATGTGACTAGGACATGTGACCATGCACATCATCTCAGGGGAGAAAAATGCCTTTCCCTGAGATCTCATGAGATTTCCCATCAATGATCTGCGGATGACAACGCAATCCCAGTGTGCATTGCTTTGTCAAAGTCATTTTGCCCTTTGAAAGCAGCAAGTGAATGCTATGCAAGTGTAAATATTTCATAATCACAGCATTTTACACCTGACATGTCTATGTTATTATTAATCATCATACATAGAGGGATGCATTGGTAGAATTTGATTTTTGAGAGTAAAGGTCAGCTTTAACTGGAGCTGATTACAATGAAACAATTATTGGACGAAGGGGCGGAGTTTTATGATGCAGGTGGCAAGGATTAAATTAAAGCGCTAGGGAGGGTAAACAGCAAACTAAGCCTGCCAGCATGCCTGTTCAGCTGGTTACAAGTGGCATTGACGCAGCGCTAGCTGTATTTTTACATTGCATATACACAATAGAAAAATAAATAAATATTATGATTCTTTTTGCATGTTCACATCATAACTTTATCTCCTACCTGAATCTCAAACATTATTAATGTTGTTCTTATAAATGGCTGTGACCTGTACAGATGAATCTGTGACCGCTGTATGAATAGCTCTTTTACACAAAGTGTCTTGTGATCCACTAATCCCGGTCACACCGATTGTGATGGTTTTCTTTATTTTCTGTTATTATTATGCTGGCTACGTTTTCATACATGTTCCAGCCCCAGACTGTTATATAACTGACATTTGGTTTAATACTTCTTTTATTTCCTTCCCATACACAGCGATAAAATCTGCTATTATGTGGACCTTGGCTTCTTCTGATGAGTGACCCCGGCAGCCTTTCCTATGGAGTCCATCCAGGAGGTGAGAGCTGAATGACTGGATCTGGATATTTGTATATTATGATGTTTTATTATTGGTTTATTATGTTTTACTATATGTGCATTGTTGTATTGGAGCTTTGTTTATATTGACCTTTGTTTCGATTTCTCTGTTACATATACAACAAAGGTTGTGGTGGGGGTTTTTTGAAAAGAGGACTCGGATAATTAGAAAATGTTATACATTTATTAAATTCATTAAAAAGTTTTTTTCATAATGAAAATTAAAATCAATGCTCCTGCACAAACATGATTAATGAATCCCTAAATGTCTTGCATATAGATCATACAAAATTCATAATCCATTTCATAATGTCAATCATTTATCCATCATTATATTACATATACATTGTTGTACCGCTCCATTGATCACCAAATTTCTCTGTGTTTCCCAAAAGACAATTGTGGGTCAAAGCATTGACAGCTCTGATCATTTTCTGCTTAAATTAAGCAGCAAGCAAGAGGTGATACAACTGCTGCTAAGAGGAGTCACATGATTCTGAAGCACTGTGCCGCCAAGTCAAAGAAATACCTAGGCTTTTGATTGGTTGACTGTATAATTTAAAGCGGACCTTTACCCATATCTTTAAAATAACAACAAACACACCTTTAGAACTGTTTAGAACTGTTTAGTATTGACAATCTACAAACACCTACTTCTAGATAATTGCCGGCTTTGTATTCTTTGCATTCCTTATTTCCCTTTTCTTGTCGTCTTGTGACGGTGGCCATGTTTACTAAGAGTAGATTACTAGCTCTCCCTTTACTTCCTGGATTTCCGGCACATGTGACTAGGACATGTGACCATGCACATCATCTCAGGGGAGAAAAATGCCTTTCCCTGAGATCTCATGAGATTTCCCATCAATGATCTGCGGATGACAACGCAATCCCAGTGTGCATTGCTTTGTCAAAGTCATTTTGCCCTTTGAAAGCAGCAAGTGAATGCTATGCAAGTGTAAATATTTCATAATCACAGCATTTTACACCTGACATGTCTATGTTATTATTAATCATCATACATAGAGGGATGCATTGGTAGAATTTGATTTTTGAGAGTAAAGGTCAGCTTTAACTGGAGCTGATTACAATGAAACAATTATTGGACGAAGGGGCGGAGTTTTATGATGCAGGTGGCAAGGATTAAATTAAAGCGCTAGGGAGGGTAAACAGCAAACTAAGCCTGCCAGCATGCCTGTTCAGCTGGTTACAAGGGCCGATTACAAGAAAATGTAATCATTGGATAAGGAAGCTGAGTTTTATGATGCAGAGGGCAGGGCTTAATGTAAACCTGGGCAGCACATTGGCTTAGTGGTTAGCACTTCTGCCTTACAACACTGGGGGCCCCTGATTTAGGTCAGCAGTATCTGCATGGAGTTTGCATGTCCTTCCTGTGCTTGTGTGGGTTTCCTCCGGGTACTCCAGTTTCCTCCCACACTCCAAGGACATGCTGGAAGGTTAAAGGAGAACTATGGGGTAAGTGTTTTTCCCCATAGTTCTCCTAAGGGTCACGGGAGGACATATACTAGCGTCCTTCCGTGACCCAAAGCTCAGTATATCGCGAGCTACAGCTTCTTCTGATGAGTGACCCCGTCGGTGCTTGTGTGGGTTTCCTCCGGGTACTCCGGTTTCCTCCTACACTCCAAGGACATGCTGGAAGGCAGCAGGGACGGATCCCGACATTACTGTCGAGATCCACCCAGCTGCGTTTGTGACAGCTGGCTCTGCTCGCCAGCTGTACCCGCCCCCTCCCCATCCGTTCCGCCAGTCAGCACTGAAGGATCGGAGAGGGGAGAGGAGGAATCCCTGCAGGAAGCCGTGAGTGACAGTCACTGCTCTCTGTAGGGACATGATCGAGAAGTGAGCGAGTGACGGTATGCGTTCGCTCACTTCCCGATCTATTGAGCTGACGTGTGACAGTTTCATTGTCGCAGGTCGGCTAGAACTATGAGGTTGAGTAAAAATCACTCACCTCGTAGTTCTCCTTTTAATTGTCTCCTGTCTAAATTGGCCCTGTGTGTACAAAAGGGACCTTTATATTGGTAAGCTCCTTGTGGGCAGGTACTGATGTGATAAAAAAACAAAAATAAATCGCTAGGGAGGAAAAACCGCAAACTAAGCCTGCCACCACAAGGTGTCTGTGCATACATCTTTCTTACTCACTCGCTGCCAGTGCCATTGTCTGAACAGCCGATTACAAGAAAACATAATTATTGGATGAGGGGACAGAGTTTTATGATGCAGAGGGCAGGGCTTAATGGAAACCGCTAGGGAGAAAACCAGCGAGCTAAGCCTGCCACCACAAGGTGTCTGTTCATACCTCTTACTTACTCATGCGCTGCCAGTGTCCGAGAAGCCCATTGCAATTGGCAAGAACTGTCGTGGGGCACAGGGGTGCTTGCTCACCCCTGCGCAAATTTGGTATTAATGAAACAGTGAGAACTTAAATAGAAATCCACTGAAATGTCTGGATTTAGTTTGCTGATATTATGTGGCCTTGTCAAGTCAGGACCCATCAGTAAACAATAGGCAGAACTAAAATCCAGCAGTGAAACATAAGAAAACAGCGTACTTCAAAATTCAATATATTGCTTTAGAATTTGATTTGCAATGGATATTTAATCAGATCTCTGAGGACATTGCAAAGTACCCTGTATTGTTTTCCAGCATTCTAAAGACCTAGCCTAAATCCAGATGCTTTTTCCTGCCACTAGATGTCAGTCTGATGGCCAGCATCTTTCAGCCTACTTTCTTTTGTCCTAGACCTTTCCCAGGCTGTGACTGGATAGTGAAAGAAGAAGCAGCAGCACAGAGATGAGATCATTTCTATGTCACTCTGCTTTCTCCTCCTCTCACCATGCTTCTTGACAGCACATGAACTGACTTTTGTGCTGCTTCTTCCTCTCACACTCCAGCCCTGCTCTACAGGGACTGCAGGAGGTGTCTGATATCAGATTAAATGCAGGTACTTACACTGCTTACATTTAAAGGGTTAGTATTATTACATATTAAACCCTTGTTATTGAACCCTTGTGTGTTTTTGCATATATTTACTGCTAGCAAGCTGTAGATCTATGCAAAAAAAAAAAATGTTTAAAAAGGGTTTAAACTTACCTGTGTCTTCGCCGTGCGCTCCCGTCCGAATATCTGGAGAGTCGCAAAGGATCTTGGGTGGGCGCATGCGCATTTCAGATGTTTGGCCGGGAGACAAGGAGAGACCCAAGGTAAGTCTATGGAGCAGTGTGCTCCCGCACAGACTCCGTGGGACAGGAAGAGAAGAAGAGGACAGAGGAGTCAGCGCTGGAT